GCACCTCGAGTGCATCGACCACTGCTGACTGCAAACTGCACTCCAAACATGGTGTTGAGGAGAGTGGACTTTCCTGTGCTCTGAACTCCAAGAACTGTGACTACCAGGATCTTGTTCTTAGGAGACACCAAGTCATTGAGCTGAGAGAGAACGTCACTCACCCATCTGAGAGGTATGTTGGATGCTTCTCCATCTACAAGCTCAAGTGGAAATCCAGCAAGCATTAATTCTGCACATAGCTTGGGGAGATGCTGTAGTTGTTGACGTGCTGGGTCTGTTTCAGGAAGGGAAAGGGAAGCTTCATAGATCTGGCCCATTTCACGGAAGAAGTGTTCAGTCCCTAATGAGCTGTTGGAAAGTTGTTCCTCAATCTCCTTGATCGCCTTTTTGTTCTCAGAGTTTCTGCATTTTTCTTTGTACTGCTCCCTGAGGTCAAAGAGTTTTTCCCGAGACACGTTATCGAGGTTCATTCGCATCCATTTCAGGAAATAGCACCTCTCTATCCCTGGGCTTGATATTGCATTGATGAAACATGTCATTGCCTTCGACATGTCATAGGAGTTCTGTTTTCTCCGAAGTTCTTTTTTCTGTAGATGAAGTCTGCTTTTGTACTCTTCTATATTTTCAGACTTAACTTTCCGAAGTCGCAATTCTTCCTTCTCTAAGCGAGTGAGGTCTTTCCATATTTGTCCTTGCAAGGGAAGCTGAGCTTCTTTGTATTCAAGAATGTCTTTAATTTCTGCAGTGATGGCATCTGCATTTTTCTTCGCATTCTGGCAGTGTGGAGAGTCTTCATCAACACAGATTCCATGTTCATGGGCAACGTCAGCCATCTTCTCAATTCCCCTCTTCACCTTTGTGTTTTCAAATGCATTGCTGACTTTTTCCCGCAAATCTTTGACAAAGTTTGCATCATTTATGTGCTTATCTTTCAGAAGGATGTTGCTCTTGGTTAAGCTCAACTTGGTTGCTACCTTTTTTACAGCATCTGATTTGAAATCTTTGCTTTGACGGTTACCCACCAAGAAGATCTGTGCCTTGTGTTGTTGGTTGGTTAGCAGCTCACACTCAGAGTCCAAAGCATCAAAGAACACAAAAACTGCTGCCGATGTCTGACACAAGAAAGAAAATTGTGTTTCAAATGAAGCAATGTCCCCACGAAGGTTAGCTACAGCAACTGGCTCGCTGAAGACGTCCATGTTTTTGTTCCCACAAGGAAGGTACCAAGTCATTTCAACCAATCCATTGGATATTCTCCTTGGACTGTCACCACCCTCCATGTTACGGTGAACAAAGGTGTCATGGTTCTGCTGAGAGTTGCTCAGAAGCTTATTAAGGATCTCTGACTTGGACAAGGAGCACTCACCCAGTCTCACAAAAGATATCATTGGAAGTTCAGAGACAACAATTCTCTCTTCAATAAATCCCTTGGATTCTACAAGGGACCGAGGTCTGTACTTTTTAACAATGTCTCTCATGGCCCAAAGCATGAGTGTGCACTGCTTTGTGTCACAGTTGGGAAGCAACAGAGGCACGGAAAACTGACACATGGACATTTTGAGGGCCATTTCCTGCTGTACAAAACCATCAGAGCACAGGAAGAGAGCAGTGATTATGTCAAGGGGATTCAGTGTTTCACCTGAATGTGTTTTTTCGTCTAAGTCATCAAGACCATCTGTGTGATCCTCACAGTTGGACTTGTGTGCAGGTGTATATTTCACATTCCTAGCTGTCACATTAACCATCATTAGTTTCTTCAGAAAATACCATGGAAGATCCGAATTACACTTGGCAGGTTCATCTGTAAAGGTCTTCTGGTCAATCCTCAGAAGTGTGCTTAGGGACAGCTTCTCTCTGTAGTGGTGGTCCAACCCCAGTTCCTCCAAAACCCTCTCTAGCTGCTTCTCTGTAGAAAATAAAAACAATACATATAAAAGCCTTAATTGATTATTAAACATTCATAAGCATGGATCAACATTTATTATAACATTTTTCCTTTCCTATAGTTTATTAAACTACAACTATGATGGGCAGTCAATTATTAAACAGCTGGTCTAATAGATGGATCCAGATCCTTCAACCACACTAGAATCAAATTAAGAGATATACAAATCTAATTGGCAGATTGCAATGGAATTGTCAGTGAAAGGATTTGATAGAAGGGATTGAGACATCATTTGCATCAAATTACAGCAGGTTTATACAAATGCAATACACTGTTTGACATTGGCAGTGATAGGTGAACATTGAAAGAAACTATCGTTCATGTCTGTCATGATCAATCATATCCAAGATATATATTATGCATGGTTTAAGGAAACATCCACTTGAAAAGGAAAACATATACACTTGTTTTCAATGTTACTGTGTAATGATCATTTTATGTAAAAGCACATTTTTTTATAAATGTCTCAGCATTTAATTGTTATAAGGTCTCAATACTTTAATATATATATATATAAAATATAATATTTTGTTGCCATTTATTGGTTGTCTTTTTTACCTGCTATGCCACTTTTGCTGTAACACTGTACATTTCCCCGCAGTGGGACTAATAAAGGAATTCTGATTTTGATTCTGATAAGTACGCATACAGAAAATGTGTGAGCCAGATTAGCAGTAAGCATCATGTGTGCTATACTGGCAGTAATATATCTATGACAGCTTCATTAACATGAAGAAAGGCTGTTGCTGAGAAAGATACATTTGCTTGAAAAACAAGAAGCTAACCTTGAAGCAATAAAAACAAATCTTAGAGTGCTAATGGAAAAGCTTGAGCTTCAAACTGATACAATAACAACCATGGAAGCCCTGGAGTATGGTGGAGGATGATAATATATTTGCTGTGGTGGAGCAATACTGTACTGGTCAACCAGATGAAAATGCTGATGTTCATAATGAAGAGGAACAAGAAAAAAAACATAAAGCCAAACTCCAGCCAAGTCACAATCAAATAGCAAAGAAAGAGTGACTCGATTTAAGTAATGCGGCACCAAATCAAAATGACTGAAATGCTGACAAAGGAGCAACGCTTAACATTACATCCATCCAGAGAAATACCTATCTTTAAAGAATATAAATTAGAGTACCTTCCATTTATTGAGATGTTTGTCCAAGCTAAAGACTTGGTGAGAAGGTTTCAATAAATGAATTCTAAAAAGGACGAGAAAGCCAAGAGATTGCTCGAAGAGAACTATGGAAATGAACTCTTTTGCAGCAGCTTGTTTGGAGAAAGGTCAAATTGGAATGCCATTAACAGTGAAGATAGAAAAGCACTGCTCAATTATACTATTTTTCTTTAAGGATATTTTAACTCAATGGAAAATATTGATACCTTCCTTTAAACTCAGAGAAAAGTGTAGAACTGCAAATTCATAGATTCAAACAAAATGAAAAATTCAATGTTTCTAGTTTTGGTTGATTTCATCAAAAGACATGCACTGATGGTTTTAAAGAAATTAGTTTTGCAACAGTGAGTGCAGGTGCACGCATAGAAATGCAAAAGAGCAAAACATGTCAGATTTCCAAAAGACAGAGTTACGCCAGAGCTACCACCATACATGTCAGAGTCAATGACTTTGGCCAACTTGACAACACTTGATGATGAAAGCCCTTCAACAGTTATGTGCGTGTACAAATGATCAACAGCCGACACACATAACTACAGTGCCAAATGTTCCAAATGACTTTGAACCTCTATCACTCGACCACTTGCTCCAGCTCAAGGTCAAACCAATGTTACCACCAGGTTAAATCCATCTGCAATATTCAGAGCCAAAACACTGTTGGCAGCAAGTGAAATGCATAACGGAGTTCTGGAGCAGATGGATCTACGACTTTGCAAGAAAGACCAGAATGGAATTGCATTCAAAGAAAACCATATACCTGGACATACATGTATTGATCATAAACTGAAATGCACTTCATTGATCCTGGTTAATGGCAAAAGTTCTGGAGACACCACCCAGATCAAGAGGTCTGATTCTTTTTATGACAGAAACAAACATGCTGGAAAGACCAGTAAGCTAAGTTATCTCTCTGGTGCCAGTCTCAGAATAAGGCAAATTAACATTCACAATTAGAATGTAGTTTTCAAAGGCTGAACCTTTTGTATCCGGCTCCTTTTTTGTTTTGTTAACTTTTATTAAAGATTCCCATTACAATTTGTTTTGTGCAGAATGCCAAAATAATATTTTCACCCGGTGGCGACCTCTAGAGTCAATTAAAAAGAAAGACTACAATTCCCTAGCACAAGCTTATTGAGATACTCATTTATGGGCTGATGTGGCAGAGTTCTAAACCGCTCAATTATTTAACGTTATCATCTTACAGTAAGTACATCTTTTAGTTTTGTTTTGCCTCTTTTGTTTTAATAGTAAACCATGCAATAACGATTATATTTGACTGACCTTTGGGGGCAGATGGTGCAGTTGGCTTTCTTAATGTTCCATCAGCTTTCTCAAATTCACCAGCAGGTGGCTCAGGATGCAGAGGCTCTGACTCCCTGCTGAGCTGAGTGCTGGGCTCTGAGGAAAAAAACAGAAAGCTTTCAGTAAAACTTAAAAAATGAATGTTCCATGAATGTTTGTCAGCATTTTAAAGTGCTGTTTGACTGACAAGGAAAGGCCAAAAAAAAAGCCATATATATTTATCCAAAAGATCCAGAAACAGGTGGCATTGATTACATTTTCAGATTTACCTGTGAAGACAGATAGCGAGGTTGCTTCGCTTTGATTTCCATTGTCTGCAATCTTTTTGAAACTGATGGTACACTCAGTCCCGTGAATCAGTGCCTTAACCGTGACAGTTTCTGCGTTATCAACAGTCAAACTGCCGCTGTTTGTTTCACAGCCTGAGTAATCTAACTGTAGTCTACACACAGCTACTTTCCCTGGTGGAGGAACATCTGTCATAAGACAAGAAAAGTACATCTCAGTATCTTTACATATCACTGCGTATATATTTATAACATTAGGTCAGTTATTGACAGTCACACTTACGGTCAGACTGTGGTGCTGCTGGAGTGTTCTTTCCTTCCTCACAGCACGGGTCAGGAGAGGGATCTGTTTCTTCATGATGTTCCTTGGTAATTGAGAACATTACAGTATGTTTGCATTCTATTTTGAACGAGTCATACTATATTAACAATTGTTGGTTAAATAACCTTAAAGAGGTGGATAGAGACATTTCTTTGTATCAGAATACAGCAGGTTGATGAAAATGTTCTTTGCACTGAGATTGGACATTGGCATTATTCATAGGTGATCATTTAATAAAAATCAGAATGGGTGCTGTCATGATCAATCATATTACTTAGAACCACATATCCTGTGACGCTCACAGGGGAGGGCAGGAAACTGTATAAATACTTATGCTTCAGACCTATGAGGGGTCAGCTATTCTAACCTTAATTTAACTATTACGCATTTCACTATACTTTTTACCAGTGCTGAAAGAAGTACTCAGTAAATATTAATACAAAAGTGTATATTTACCAGTAAGTAAAATAGTGTACAATAGTGTGTACCAGAACACTGTAGCTCTTCACTTTATAGAAAAGTATCTCTCAGTATCTCCACAGCAGGTATATATTTATTACATTAAATCAGTTATTAACAGTCACACTTACGTTCGGACTCTGGTGCTGCTGGAGTGTTCTTTCCTTCCTCACAGCACGGGTCAGGGAAGGAATCTGATACTCCATGATGTTCCTAGGTAATTAGGAAGAATATGTTGAATTTTTGAATTCTAATCCAATACATGAATCATGCCATATTCACAATACTTAAATATATGACAATATTTCTCTTGTAATTGTATTGTAATTTAATTATTTACCTCCACATCAGGGTTATCCATTGCAGAAACACTCTCAGCCATCCCACAAGATTCTTCAAACAGCGTCTCACTGAAAGTGTTAGAAAAGAACTGTGTTACAACATCTAATCTAATGTAGATTCTACACCAGGCACATGCAGAGGATGAGAGGGGACGGGGCTCAAATGCATAAAAGGGCACATAAGGAAGTCCCTCCCTTTCCGGTGGACCTCCATGGGACCTTCTTTAGGAAAAATTATGTATTGAAGTCAATTATATGAGAGTAACACCTACGTCACTTCCGGGCGAAAATGGCGGCCCGGCCCACTTTTGGGGGAAAACAACGCTGTCATTTGAATGGCGGTCAATACAAATTCTGAAGTTTTTGCCAATCCGATCAGAGATGTATTAAAACCGTGGATTTTTGGATCTTCAAAGAGCCCGATTACGATGGCCAGTCAGGCAAACAATTACATTAAATCATTTGAAATCGACGATCGGGCTCGATATATGGTTAAATTCAAATCAGTAGGCGAGGCCGTAATTTCGCCAGCTGTTACTTTCATGAGCGAGGCGGAAAATAATTGTTTTATCATGCCAAAAAGCTGCTGTGTCGTTTATTGCACCTCAAACATGAAAACAAATCCAGAGTTACGTTTTTCTGTACTTCCTCTAAGAAAAAAGGACAGTAAAAGAAGAGCTCTGTGGCTTCAGGCTTGATCGCCATTCAAATGACAGTGTTGTTTCCCCCAAAAGTGGGCGGGGCCGTAATTTTCGCCCTGAAGTGACGTAGATGTTACTCTCATCTAAGGACATCGATCGCCTACTGCTATATTTAACCATATATCGAGCCCTATCTTCGATTTCCAATGATTTAATGTAATTGTTTGTAATCGGGCTCTTTGAAGATCCAAAAATCCACGGTTTTCTTACATTTCTGATCGGATTGGCAAAAACTTCAGAATTTGAATTGATCGCCATTCAAATGACAGCTTTGTTTTCCCCCAAAAGTGGGCGGAGCCGTCATGTGTTACTCTCATATATGGCGAGAGAAAAATTATCTTTCGATCCCGTTTGAATTGTGCCACGAAGTACACATAGTTTGTCAATTTAAAAGATAATTTTGCAAGTAAAAAAAAAAATGTTTTGCCGTAAAACTTTTTTTTGTGTGAAACCGCTCAATGAACTACATCTCTGGTTTGCACAACACAGTGACTTGCTGCTGACCTGATCGACTTTATTCTGAACATGAGTGCTGGGCTCTGAGGGGAAACACAGAAAGCTTTCAGTAAAACTTAAAAAAGTAATGTTCCACCAATGTTTGTCAGCATTTTAAAGCATTTTAAAGTTTTAAAGTTTGACTGACAAGGAAAGGCAAAAAAATATATAGCCATATATAATTATCCAAAAGATCCAGAAACAGGTGTGATTGATTACATTTTCAGATTTACCTGTGAAGACAGATATCGAGATTGCTTCGCTTTGATTTCCATTGTCTGCAATCTTTGTGAATCTGATGGTAGGCTACACTCAGTCCTATGAATCAGTGCCAGTGACAGTTTCTGCGTTATCAACAGTCAAACTGCGGCTGTTTGTTTCACAGGAGTAATCTAACTGTAGTCTAAACCCAGCTACTTTCCCTGGTGGAGGAATCTTTACATATCACGCGTATATATTTATAACATTAGGTCAGTTATTGACAGTCACACTTACGGTCGGACTGTGGTGCTGCTGGAGTGTTCTTTCCTTCCTCACAGCACGGGTCAGGAGAGGGATCTGTTTCTTCATGATGTTCCTTGGTAAGTGAGAACATTACAGTATGTTTACATTCTGTTTTGAATGAGTCATACTATATTAACAATAGCTTATGTGACATGTATTTGTAAATGTATTGTCATTTAACGGTTTACCTCCTTATCAGTGTACTCCATTTTTGATACACCCTCAGCAATCCCACACCGTTCAGATTATCCAAACAGCTTCCCACTGAAAGTAATAGGAAATAACCAGAGGTGTAAGAAGTAGATCTTTTACGTAAGTAAAAGTACCATTACTACAATGTAAAAATCCTCTGTAACAAGTAAAAGTCCTTTATTCAAAATGTTACCCTAGTAAAATTACAAAAGACATCAAAAGATACTTCAAGTACAATACGTGAAAGTATACTCATTGTGCAGTAAGGCCCAGTAATAATGAATTTATTAATGTCAATTAATGTCAATGTTGCACTTGGTAGAGGTTGGGTTGATTTTGTATATCTTGATATATACTGCTGGGTGCCTATCATATAATAATACATGATGGTTTATTAGTTTATTTTGTATTCTGTATTATTATTCAACGTCTGCAGAGCAGCTAGTAACTAAAACTGTGAAATACATATTGTTGAGTAAAAAGTTACAAATTGCCTCCAAAATGAAGTGAAGTAAAGTATATAGTAGCACAAAGTGAAATACTCAAGTGAAGTACAGGTACCTCATATACATACTCAAGTACAGTACTTGAAAACCATTCAACACAACACCTGAACACCACAGATCAAACAGCATGTGAACTCTGCAGCCTGATAGATTACTGAAACTGATGAGTTATGCTTCTGTTTGAGACCATGTGAAGCCATCATTTAAAAAGTATTTCAATGAAAGACAAAGAAATGCTTTCCTACCTTTTGTAGATGAACCATGGTAACACGTAAATCTGTTCTTGTATCCAGAGCTTTCATCTGCAGTGTATAGTAGTATAAAGCACTGCAAGTACACAGCCCTGCCCTTCTCTGCCAATGCAAGTGCCTATGAGAGGTGTCTCCTTTTATACTGCCTTGGGAAGCCACTTTGCATTTTATTTCCTTGAAAAAGAAACGTATTGTTTGGTATCCTCCCTTTCTGAATAATTATTTTCAGTCAACCCGCTCTTGGTCATGATTGTGAAAACAGCTTCTCTCTGAAAACAACAAGAGAGCTTTAATCTCAAGATTCAAAATTCAAAGGTTTATTGTCCTAACAACCTAACAAACTACGGTGTAATTATGTAATGTATGAAAAACTTAGATCACAAGTTCCTCAACAGTGCAATTTTTAAGATATACCATTTTTTTTAATAAAAAACAACAATCAAAAATAAATATAGTGCAAGCTCAGGTGTAAAATATTCTTATGGCCTGTGGGATGAAACTGTCCCTTAGTCTGGTGGTTTTAGTCCGGATGCTGCGGTACCGCCTGCCAGACAGACGGCAGCAGACAGAACAGTTTGTTGCTGGGGTGATGGGGGTCTTTGATACTCCTGTGGCCTTTTTTGACTCTTATAGACTGTACTGCTATTCATATTCCAATAAGATAAAATACCATGTGTCTTAGTACTAGTCTGCTTTCGTTTTTGTTGTGTGCAGACTTTATTGTTGGGTATATCTTACAAAGCCAAACAGCGCCCCTGTAGCAAACGCCTTTCAGCCATTATCAGGTATCTGTTATGAGGAACTGACAGCAGTATTAAAATGGGTTTCTGAGAATGATTCCGTTAACAAATACATATTAACATCAGATGTTCAACAGAGCAAGGAAATTGTTGTCTCCTTCATTACAAAACAATTGGCTTGCACAACACCATCTTACCTAGTTTTTTTAAGTGTGCAAATGAAAAAATGTAATTGCAATGTCATTTTCTGTAAAGGTCTTGAAAGAAGTGGAAAGAAACTCTATTTTGCATCTGAAAAAAGCAAGTTAATGAACATGATCCTAATTCTGTGACATGGCATTATTAACAGGTGAACATTTAAGGAAACTAAAAAGGGTGTTGTCACGACCATATTATGCTTTGAGGAGATCTTGCATAAATTAAAGCTAAGGGGATTTCCAACCTCAGATTAAATATCATTTATTTCCTGTTGAAACCTGATGTAACCAGTTCTCAGGAACGTTATTCAAAACCACATACTATGTGAAACAACAGGAGAGGGGTGAACACTTTTTAAATGTGCTTAAGACACATTTGAAGTCCCTTCTTTTATGCTACTCTGTTGCACAAGCACAATTACGCAATTTCATTATTCTTGGTACCTTGGAACCATTGTAAAAAAGGAATTGGCATTGATAAAGACCAATACATGCTAGAATCCTTTCTTATAACCTTCTCCTCCTCCTTTCTACCCAACTGACTAAGTAACTAACACTCTTACAACAGGATATTTTCTACCAGAGAGGGTGCTTAACCTACTCCTAGGCCTCTCATAACAGTTGAGGGTGAGATATAGAGCAACCCCGTGTACTTAGGCTGATGTGAACTGGTTCCCCTGTGGGAGCTACGTTACTCTGCAGGCCAGTTCATTCCCTAATTCTTGTGATGGTGCCACGACTAAATATCTAGGCCTAATAAAGGATATCGGTATTCACCTTGGTGGAAGGACAAATCGACAAAGGCTTTCGTGACTCACTTACTTTTCCTTCCTGTGCTTACCATGTGTATTTGCTGAGACTGTTCCTTACATCAAATCAGAAGACTTGTCTCAACTTCACTTGCTTCCTTCTGTTCCTGGAAGCAAAGCCAGTTCACCATAGTTTGGAGCTTTTGAAGTGCCAACCATGGTACAGATAGGGAATGGATGGTGAAGCAGGGTCAGCAGAACCATTCAGATAGAATGGGTCGGATTACTTGTGTTTTTTGGAAGGGGCCTGCCCTCCAATCAGGATTCACAGTGCTTCATTCTGTACATTGACCTACTGCTATCAATGCACTTTGAATACAGATTATTTTGTTTGTCTAATTTAAGACCATAAATTATTGTAGCGAATATGGTCTTCTAGTCTAAGCGAGTCTGGTTATGAATGAAAGGCAGTCATTGATGTACAGTAAGGGGTAAGGTTATGTGAAGTCTTGTCAATCATTAAAAGCACTTTAAAATCAATTCTGTAAGACACCGGTAACCAGTACAGTGATGCCAGCAGAGGGGAAATGTGATCTCTGTTTTGTTTGTTATATCCTGACTGCAGCATTCGGAATTAATTACAATTATTTAAAAGATGTTTTAAGAGGGACAAGTAAAAAGAGAATTGCTATAGTCCAAGCCGCTAGAAATCAAAGCATGTAAAACCATGTCAG